CAGGTAGCTTGTATAGGAAATAGAAATATAAAAGATTATGTTTTTCACCACTGAATTATAAATTAAATTAAATGGAAGGAAAAAACCAAACCAAAACTCCAAAGCAATAAATAGGACATTGTTTGTTGGTGACCAAGTGCGCACTCACATTTAAATACAATCACAACAGCTGCTGTACAGAACAGAATTAATTGTACAAAATAAAGAAAAGTAAAGAATAGCAGTAAAAAGATCAGACCTTTCAAAATGACCTTCACCTGGCAAAGGAAAATGACTTTATTTTCCTCCCTCATTCCCCACACAGCTGTATGTGAATTCTTGATAAACCTGTAATGAGGGCAGAGGCAAACGATACTTTTATAAATACAGTTCCTGTATAATTTACTGATTCTTCCTTGTGTTGTAGGCTTGTGTCTTCTACTAATGCTGTTTCTTCTTGTCCTTAGAAATAAAGAATCAGAGCAGCAGAACCATTTATCCAAAGCACAAATGAAAGTCAAACGACCTTAGAATTCACCAGCAGCCCTTTTGGATCCCTAAAACATTTAAGACCAAAATTGCTTGTTGGTATTAGGAAACAAACAAACAAACAAAAAATAGCAGTTAGAGATTGTAAAGTTAAAACTGGCTCTTAGGACAATAAACAGCCCTTCTTGAGCCTGGCTGCAAAATTGTGAGCTGCGCCTGTGCCACTGAGTCACGTCCAAAGGAAGAGATGAACTGGGGAAATATTTACACAGAGGTCCAGGATTTGGAAGGACTATACATTGTGCCTGCTTTGTAGCAGATTTTTCTGGTTTTAGGAAAAGTCAAAGAGAAACTTCAAAGAGCAGATTCCATGTTGATTTGGAGAGCTGAAGTCTTTTCCCAGCAAATGTTGGTGTTTATCTTTAATAACGAAGCAAATGAAAGGTCTAAATTCACCCCTTCTGCCAGTTCTCCAAGGCAACAGAATGACACCTAGCAGGAGTCAGGGTTAAAGATGGCAGCACAAAGGACAAAGTTCTTGACAGTCTTCAATTGTAGGTGGCAGAGCCATCACTGCTTGTCTGTTAACATGCCATGTGAGCTCTGTTCCAGTTCTCATCATCTGATAAAACTCTCCCTTTACTACATTACCTGTCTGTCATGTAACGGGGCTAAATGAGGGCTGTGTGAACAGAGAACCAAATCTCAGGGCAGAGGTGAGAACGTTGCTCCTACTCTGCCAGACTCACCTGCTAAGCTTAGTCAGCACAAGAGCTGTTTGTACTCACAGTGAGTAACACCTTGCTCTAGAAAAATAAGTTTGTAGTTAGTCATTGTGTTTGCTCCATGAGTAATGTGCTAATAAATCCAAGAGTCAGAAGCTGCTCTTTGTGAGTCAAATGTGCCATGCACTTATGATAAGGAGTAAGTTCAGGGTCCTACTTAAAATATTCTGAGATTGGTGGTGGGAAAGGTGTAACTTATACAGAGCTGAGCAATGGGCTGAAGCACAAAAGGATCCAACTACTCAAACAACACTTGGGTTATGAATCAATTTTTGGGGTCCAACAATCATAATGACTCATTGTCCTGGCCATGAAACTTTGGAGACTTTTCTCTACTCCTTTGAGGGTTTTGACATTGAATAAACACTTCAATAATCTCTTAAAGGAAGATTTTTTTTTTCCTTTTTCTGATCAGATAAATTTCCAAGTCAAAGAGTTACAAGCATACTTCAATCTGACACCAGAGAGCACCCACTAACTTCAAATCATGAACTTCCTTCAGGTTTATCTAGGTTGTGAATGTGTTTTGAGATGGCAATATTTCCACAGAGACAAGAACTAAGAAAATAATAAAACCCCCAAACCTACAACATGGGAACATGAGCATGTTCCCATGGACAGCATGGGAGTGTAAATGGGAACCTCGGCTGAGATTTTAACAGGAACATCAGTGAAATAATTGCTTAAAACCCCACTGAAAGTTCCACAGTCAAAAATGAAAGATATTTTGACACCAAACTGCTCAGATAGCTAGTTCAGCAAAAAAAGGCAGTGATAATAATTTTTCACTCAATAAAATTATTAAGTGCAATTAAAAATAGAAATTAGAGAGCCTGCCAATGTCAGCAAACTTGCAGCCACATTTTAAAAAGAATTTTGCTTTTAAAATGTGTTAAAGTACTAAGGGGAAAAAGAGAATGTTTGACATGGAAATAGAAACAATTTCTTAATGGTAAGAACATATAGCAGTTCAGTCAGGTAGAATCAGATCTGTATAGACTATTAACAAAAATATACAGGGGTCATTAATCCAAAAACTGGAAGTTCTGGGGCTTGAAATGTGCTCAGATTTATTAATAGTAATAGATCAAAGGGTAATCCAGGCCAAAAATAATCTGTTGCCTGCGGAGCAGACACTCATGGTGATTATGTAACAGTGAGAGACACAAGTCTTGAAATAAATTATTGCTGGGACCTTGGACCATATCCTGAATAGGCAAATATTTCATATAAGGCTGTATACATATTATTTGCAATGTTAAGCATTTTAATTTGATGGTAATTAAATGTTGCTTTAACAACAATTTCACAGATTTATTTGCCCAAGCATTTATTCCTCCTTCTCCAAAAAGTTGATAATTTAGTGGAAAAAACTGAAAAGGATCTTAAAAACCTTTTACTTATATTTTTTTCCCAAACAAAATCTAATTTAAATTTATCCACATCTTGAAATAGATGTTAAAATTAAATTGCTTTACAGTAGATGTGGCAAATCTGCATATCTGACACAGTCAAACTTTTGATTTTTCCCTTTCCTCACCCTCAGTTTGGGCAATAGAAAAAGCAGAATAAATTTTCTTTTCACTTTTAATCATGGTCACCTACTTTCACACTCAAGTATTTAATGTTCTAGGACAGTTCCACAATGTTTCTGCTGAAGACATCTCCGAGGACTGTTCATTTGATTTCAGCATTTCTCCAGAAGTACAAGTACAAATTCATTAAATTAATTTAATAAAGTTAAATTTTTTGAGGCACTTATCTGGTCTTGGTGTGTTAAGGAGATGGAGTCCCATGGAGATACACCTGTTTCCCTCAATGCAGGATGGTGACTGGATAGCACTAAAGCAGGTATCTGAATTATTCACCTACCCTGAGCAAGGACAACTCTGGGCAAAAGCATAGGATTATTTTTTTCCCCCAGATTTTCTTTAAATAACCAGTCAGGGACTCCTTACTTTCTAGAGTGTTTTCTCATGGTGGTGACAATGTCCTTACTACCTTGAGAGGAACAGCATCATGCCATCATCACTCTATTGCCTTCCATAATTTGAAAGGTGAGGGTGATATTGTTAATTCATTTTGATTCCTTGCATCTGGCTCAAACACTGCAGCTATTTGTTGCAGTCCCAAGGTTTAGTCTAAACCGATCATCCAAGGTGTAATCCATGCTAGCAACTTCTAGAGAGTGAAAATGCGTGTGAGAGATTTTGTCACCCACAGTTATCTACTGCTGTCTCTGGGATCCTCCAGGAGAGTCCAGTTCTCCTAAAGGTTTCATGTCATAACTGCCAAAACTCTGTCTTAGATACCTAAAACATCTCAAATGGTTCTAAACATTTACACATGGACAACTACATTTTTTCCTACCACAGAAAGAGTTGAATTGTCCCTTGGAAGAAAAGGTCTGGTTCTGATGATTTGAAGTAGAGTCTAGGTGAACAACACCAAGCCCTCCCAGTAATACCATTCCTTCCTAACTTTCTCAATAAGGTGATGTTAGAGGAACAAGAAAAAGAATGGAATAAAGGTCTCGTTGAAGAAGGAGTTAGAATGTGACTGAAAAAAGTCCCTAGACCCAAAGAGTCTTGAGCTCAAACTATACCTTCCGTTTTCTGCTGAGGATGTGTGGTAGGTGGTAAAGTAATATTTCAAAAGTACATTAGCAAGGTTATTACCACTCAGCTGCTGTGGACTAAGCCATCCTGTCTTATTTGTAGTTTTGTTTTTATTTCCAGTGAGTGGATTCTGTTAGACCTCTGCACCTCAGCTGGATTTACAAAGACAATAAAGCTGCAGAAACAAGCTGTTGAAGAAAAGAAAGCATCATAAAATCAAGGCAACACAAAAGGTGACTCCAATTGCCTGGATTGATTGTGTTGAACAGAGACCCAGGTATGGCAGAGTGCTGTGGGACCAGGGGCTGAGAAAATAGAGAACAGAAGCCCATGCTGCCATTTAAACTGAAGTTCACAGAGGGATCAGGGCTCTTACTGAGACTATCAAGGTTTGTTTTCCTTTTAGTCTGCCATGCTCTTTTCACAAGAGACCATGGCTGCTGCTTGAATGGTCAGAACAGATTCCCAACAGGTTCTGGCCTCATTCCAGTGCAGCTTTATTGTGCATTCCCATGTACAGGACTTTTCATTTGTCCCATGACCCAAGAATTCCTCTTTTGCCAGATTTCCATATTGGTTTTTCAATGGTGAGTAGATCAGGCATTTCCCATGGACCAGAGGAAGCCTTTCTTTCAATCTATGCAGCATGAGAGAAAAGTCAGGATGCTGGAACCGTGTGTCCCACAACTGATGCACTGACCCTAACTCTGCTGCCGGAGAAGAAAGTGCTTCAAATTTCATGTGCCACCTCAGCCAAGTCCAGAAGTGCTTATAAAAAACAGTGTTAGTGTATCATTCAGAACAATCAAATACTACGTGCACAAAAAAGCAGTTTAGAGCAACATAAATTTTAAAAAAAGTGACAATTTCATCACACAATTACTGTACACTGCTGTTCTTAGGGTTGAATACTTTCCTCTCTCACGCTCTCTCTTTCTCTCTGTTTTAATCTTTCTTTTTTATTTCCTTTTATTTTCTTTTTACTATTTTTTCTTTCTCCCTCCCCCCCCCCTTTTTTTTTTTTTTTCCTGGATTTGGTCCACTGGAGATAAATTGCCCTCAATGATATATATATTTAAAAAAAATATCAGCAGCAAGACTCTCTCGAAATAGATTCTGTTTGATGTAGCTAGTCTGTCTTTTCTGTTTTGCCCTCTTTCACAGCAGCCTCTGAAGTTTTCCGCAGGGGGGCTTTCTCCGAGTTGGCGTGTCCTTGGCCGGATTCCGCCGCTCCTCCGTTTTTGTGCGATGTGTGCTTTTCCAAGTAGTTCAGCATTTCACTGAGAACAGTTTGGAAAGTGCTTAGGGCAGCACATATTGCAGGAGTTCCAAAACCATGAGTGATCAAACTACAAATGGGAAGGAGACAGAGGGAAAAAAAAAAAAAAAAAAAGGGAAAGAAATACACACACACATAAATATCAATGCGCCCACAAACACTGAGTTTACAGTACACTCATTTTGCTATACTGAAATTCAAGATTTGCTCCCTAAACTATTTATTACCTGTGGGAGAAACAGAAAAGAAAGGAATAGAGCCAAAGAGCAGACTGCATGCAGCTTCAAAGGTTGTTTTTGGTGGAGCCTCAGCTCTGAAACACCATGGGACAGACTCTCAGCAAGTGCAGACTGACACAGGGCTGTTGACTTCAGAGAAGCCAAAACAGAATCCGTGCCCTTGGCTCTGCAGCATTGCTAATTTTCCAGTGTCATAAAGTCTGGCTTCCCCTTCTTAGGTAAATAAAAGGAATTCTGTGTGGTTTATTCACAATTTTGGGTCATACTTAGGTGAGTTGATGATCTTGGAGGTCTTTTCCACCTTTAATGATTCTGTGATTTTATAGCTCTTAAACGTGATCTGGTTATTGTAAATGAAGGTATGACTGCATCCGTACAAGGAAATTCAGCAAAGCCAAGGATACCATCTCCAACCCTCAGCACAATTGGCATGATTTGGTCATATCCCTGCTGCTAAACTCATGGACCATCCAACAGGGTGAGATCTGAAGTTCCTGTTGGGAACAGACCCTGGCCAATACCCATGGCCAATACCCATGCTCAAGCAATGAACGGAAATTGTTGCACATAGAGCTGGTTTAGTCAGGCTGAATTAATGAACAATTCTAACCAATTATTTGCAAAAATAACACAGTTCTAACAATGCTTCCCTGGTTGTGTTGAATTTACTGGTATAGATTTGCCCTGTTGCACCTTTCATCTAAACATCTAAATAAGGGGGTTTTATAAACACTGAATTTTTATTGTCATTGTTCCTGGCTGCCACTTGTAGATCCAGAAGTGTGCAAGTTTTCCACAAGTCCCATCTCTTGGATACCATCTTGGTGAAGATCATAGAATCCCAGAATTGTCTGGGTTGGAAGGGACCTTAAAGATCATCTCATTCCACACCTCTGCCATGGGCAGGGACAACTCCCACTATCCCAGGTTGCTCCCAGCCCTGTCCAGCCTGGCCTTGGACACTTCCAGAGATCCAGGGGCAGCCACAGCTTCTCTTGGAAACCTGCACTAGGTCCTCTCCACCCTCAAAGTGAGGAATATCTTCCCAATATCCCATCTAACTCTGCCCTTTTTCAGTGGAAAGCCGTTCCTCTTTTTCCTGTCACTCTATGCCCTTATCCAAAGTCCCTCTCCAGATATCATGGGGCCTGTTAGGGTATTGGAAGAAGCTCTAAGGCCTCCCCAGAGCCTTTTTTTCTCCAGGCTGAACAATCCCAAACCCTTCAGCCTTTCCTTGTAGCAGAACTGCTCCAGCCCTGCCCCCTAACCATCTTCATGGACTCCTTTGGACTTGCTCCAACAGCTCCACATCTTTCCTGTGCTGGGGACCCCAGAGCTTGTTGCAAACCAGCAGGATGTCCCAACTACCACAGGACATGGGATGTGCCACTAGAAATTGTTTTTTAGACAATTGACTTTGGTGACATTTGCCTACATATTAAGTGTGCCATATAAGATGATCATGAAAGGGCAAAAACCCCTAAATTTTTTATGGGCAACCAAGTTGTTCTCCTTGTTATAATTATTCATTTTGGTAAGAGGTGTGTGAAAACAAAAAACCTTGCCCTAATCCTCCAGATTTTTAGTTTTCATTTAGAAACACAAATTAAAGATGATTCCAAAGACTGAAATGCCATTGAAATTTTCAAAAGTCATTTAAGTTATTTTAATCCCACTCAGAGAACAAAGATGAAAGAAACAGAAGCTAATTTTTGGGTTTGTGGGCATTTTTGAAAAATCAATACTTTATATTGGTTTGGGTGAGGGGAAAAGAAAGCCCACATCACAGTGATTCTGACAAGGAAAAATAATTGTTTCCCATTCCCTGCTGATTGAGATTTTGTCCCAACAGTGACTCTCTGGCTGTTTTGGGCACCACATCAGTAAATCCTGATCTGATGCAGAGACCCATGTGAGGGTTAGAAATATGAATATTTCACTTCAATTATCTGTTTTCTCTGCACTTTGCCTTCTCAGTCTTTCCAGGCTTTTTAGAAAAAAAGTGAAAATGTAGGGACTAAGGGGAAAGAGGTTTTACAGGACATAGACAATTGCTAGGTTGTTGTAAGTATCAAAAAAAAAAAACCATGGAAAAGGCTTCAATATATATTTTTTGGGTCACCTTTCTGTCTTCTAGACATGGGAAAACTATTTGAGAGGAAAGCTGATATGTTAGGGAAGACACAAAAAATATGTGAATTCTAACCAAATGAGTGCTCAATATGGAAATATGTCTTCATTTCAGATTGGGAGTGGCATAGTATTTTATAAAAGGTCTCCAAAAGGCTATTTACAAATAACTAACATTTAGAACATTTATCCATCAGCCTCCAGGCACTTTTCAAAGCAGGAATTTATATTTAGTCCCAGTTAGAAATGTGAGGAAAATTATAATTAAATATTTACAAGCAATATTTTGCAGACATCAATTAATAATACCACATAAAGTTTGGATGCTTTAAGTTTGAACATGTATCGATATGTGAATCTTTATAATTTAGCATTGCAAAGAGGTAAACATACGTCAGTTTAACTTTATTTTCTTTTTAGGTATGCCTGGCATACCAGAAATATAGAAATCATCATCATCCTAAGTCATGTTTTAAATAGTTGTAAAAACTAGATCAGCAGTACCATATATGATTATTTTAAGCCCTTTCAAGTCACTTTAAGAGTCAGGTGATTTAATGATTTTATGTCACATTTTATCATAATTTCTGGTCTTCAGAATTCCAGAGAAATGAAAATGTGGTGAAGTTTGCAGAAACAATAAGCAAGAAAATGGAAATTAAAGGTGTCATTACTAGTTATGTTATTGCATTATTTTTACATTGCTTGTGTGGTCTTCTGGGTCTTGATTTGGGGAACTGACTATACCGAGACACATAAAAATCTTTGTGATGTTGCAAGTGAAAGAAACTAGTGTCTGTGTTACGGAAGTTGGAAATATCTGCATTAATTAATTAATTAATTCGTTCGTTAATTTATTTCCAGTAGATGCAAATAATAAAATCATAGAATCATTTAGGTTGGAAAATACCACCAGATCATCAGGTCCAACCATTCTCCCATCACTGCCAAGCCTACCACTAAACCATGTCCCAAAAAGCCACATCCATGTGATTATTGAACGCTTTCAGGGATGGTGAACCCACCATTTCCCTGGGCAGCCTGCTCCAATATCTGACCACACTTTCAGTTAAGTTTTTCCTAATACCCAATCTAAACCTCTCCTGGCTCAACTCAAGGTTGTTTTCTCGTGTCCTATTGCTTGTTACCTGGCAAGAAGGACCGACCCTCACCTGGCTACAATCTACTTTCAGGGCATTGTAGAGGCTGAGAAGGTCAAGTAAACAGTAAGTTTAATACAGGATTAAATGGAAAAGAAACTTTCTGGCTTACAATTTTTGAAACTTTCAATTTGGGAACAAAAGGAATGATACTGTATTCATTTGACAGCTCAATAGAGCTGAGAAGTAAAGTGGGAATACTACCTTCAAAACTTAGAGGGATCATCTCAGAAATGATCTTTAGGGGTAGGAACAAACTTTAAAGTTCTGAAATGCTGAACAAGATTGTAGAAAATACCAGAATGGGACAAAATCTGATATTAAGGTACATAAGTGTAGGTGCCAATTTGTAAACATCAACAGTGTAAACATCAACAGTGCCAAACTCCTGTTACCACCAAAGGGGCCTTGATGGAGTTTCCTGTCTGTAAGAGTCTACAGATATTTGATATGTCCTGTGACATTTGGAACATCTGCACAGATTTGATGGATATGATATAGGATTGAAGTCCAGCCTGCTTCTAGATGCTTTAGTGCTGGGAAGGTTACCCTTGTGTATCTCAAATTGTTTACACAAATGAATCGGGCCCTGGGGCTTTGTTCAATACAGTCACAGAAGTCTGGAGAATGAATTAGCACCTTAAATGGATGTGTCTCCTTTATGGTTAGCTGCACCATTCTCCTGGCTACACTAAGGGCTCCATCCTAAATAGAAGATGTGATTTGGGTGCTATTTGAGATGTTCTGGGGCACCCAGACATCTATGTCATGTGAACAAGAAATAATACAGAGGGGTTAGAGGGGACCAGGACCCTTTTAAAGCAGCAGTGGGTGGATGGAATGCCTAATAGCACCTTAAAAGGCTTAGATAGATCTTCATTGACTACATGAGAAGCTCAGACATCCAGCTTACATAAAAGCACCAAGACATTTCTACTTTATCCAGAGCAGAATCTGAAACTTCTGGTTTAAAAACTAATGCTCATAGGAAAAGAATGTTTTGGAGTGAGTAAGGGGTTGATTTCTTTCACAGTTTATCCTTCTAGTTACCAGTAAACATTAAACATGGCAGCTCTCACCAACACAGCCCTGTGTTTCTTATTAAAAAGCCAATTTTTTTAGTGAAATGGTGCTGCAGAGTCTTGTGGTGACTACTTTCAGTTCCTGATGAATAGACTCTTCTTCACAAATGGGGATATGCAGAGCCTTTTAATTTTCCCATGAAGCTTATTAGGAGAAATCATTTTATAGAAAATTTCTAACCAGCCCTTCTTGCCAAGCTCCTATGAGGGTGTATTTTATTAGGCTCACTTTAGGTAATGAGCATAAAAAGGCCGAGAGATATTATCTTCTACTTTATCTTACATTTCTATCAGTAATTCCCCTTGCTCTAATTTTGGTGGTCCTTACTTCTCTGAAAGTTAAAGTCTTTGAAAAATTCAAGAAAGTTGGATAATTTCCCTTTGCTGATGAAAGTAAGTTTCAAGTTTGGGAGAAAATATGATTTTACATTTAAATCAGACATAACAGACAGAAGACTA